GTTCATTTTTGTTGGCTATTTTAAAAAAGAGAGGAAAAAAAATAAAGGGGTTCTTACCATATACTCCCTAGATTTTGGTTTATAAAGCTTGGTTCCTTTGTTTTGTTTATTTATATTTATTCATTTGCCAAATTATTTAATTATGATTTCATTTCGCTTGCAAGATTTGATTATTGTTGGCATTGGAAGGAATATATTTGTTCAGGCTGAAGTGAGTAATGCCTTTTATTGTCTTCTTATTCTTTGTGATTCTTCTAATTCTCAGACTAAATTTTGTTCAAAGTCATATAGTTGTGGATACAGTGGGATAATTAACCGTTCATTTTGTCAGTGCCACATTGCACTGTGATGGTTACATGTCCATAAAAAAATAGTATTGATTCAATTTCTAAAAAGAAAAAAACTCTGTAAAAATTTGTTATGCTTATGATATTTTAAATTATTTAGTTTGTTTTTATGAGAGAAGTTGTTAGAAGCTAATCCCAAATACTGGTTGGCTATGTGGATCATTTTCCATATGGCTTCATTCAAAGTTCTGTCAACTGGTTTCTTTTCATTTTATATTGTTGGGTTTGAATTTTCCAGAATTCTCTCTAACGAGTTGTTAACAGGTTATTTCTGCTCTCCAGTCTCGGCTCACAAGGTAAGATGCTCGCTCCCCTTCTCTTTATGTTCCCTTTCTCTCTCTGTATTTCTGCCTACCCATTTTCTGTTCATTCCCCTCCTCTCGCTGCTCAATCTTTTTGAGTTTTCCAGAATTCTTTTAGGGTTGTTTGCCTATGCCATTTTTACAAAACTGAATACATAAAACAATTTTGGAAACACATCAATCTGTTACAAAAGATAGAGTTTTAGGTAGATTACTCTACTTATATTTTCCGACTATAGTTCTGTCTTATGATAAGGTTTGGCCTCAGGTAATGTTTAATAAAGTTGAAAATACAATATTAAGTATTGAAAATTGAATGTTAAATTTATTGAATTAAAAAGTTGTTTGATCAAAATTGAAGTACTAAATTAAAAATAAATTGTTTGATATGTATAAGATAAAATTTGAAATTTATTATTTTCAAATCGTTATGTATTTTAATCGTTGTGTATGGTTCGTCGCCATTAATCTCTCTGTCGGGCTGTTCTGTGTTGCCCTCCTCTCGCTAACTTGAGGCAATTGAATAGCAAACTGATACATTTAACTTTGATATCGAGTTCATAAAAGTAGATCAGGGAACCCTCTTCGATCCCATTTTGGTTTGGTTTTCTCCTCCCTTTTTGATCTTATTGATGATTGAGATTTTATCCTTTTGATTGCCTAATGACTTGGTGATTAGGGTTTATTGATTTTGATTGTATTGTGGTTTTGAAACTTATTTGTTAATTTATGTAAAGCGTGAATTTGTGGTTGAGAAAACAATATTGTTCATTAGTGATTTCTAATAGCGGTTAGGTTCTACAATTTTTTTTCACAGAAATGGGATATTGTTTTTTTATTTATTTATTATTATTTCATTTGGGTAACAAGAAGAATTATGTTAAAATTGGGGAATTATTGATTGTATTGATATTGATGTTATTTAGACTCTTCCCATTGTTATTTTGATGTCCTAAAATGCTTAATAAAGCCAATATAGTTAGGTTTGTGTGAATGCATTTAACAGAGGGACAACGTTAAAACTTCTTAATAAAGTCAAGTTACTTATGTGTTTATGGGATATTTATGTGTTTCTTTGATTTGGAAAACAAGAAGAATTATATTAAAATTGGGAAATCTAGGGAGTATTTGGTAATTTATAATCTGCAAGGTATCTGAAAAATTATTGAGAGGAGTTAGAATTCCATAGAGAAACTGATGGATTCGCAAAAATTCTTATTTATATCACTTGGGAGAACAGGAAAGTAGGTACTTGCAATTTGTACATGTTGAAATGATTTGGCAATTCTAGACATAAAGGGGAATTTTTTATGATATTTGCTAATATTTTGTGAGTTGATGAAAAACGGGTGAAAAAATTGCGTCTTACTGTTTTGTGAAAGTGTTGGAATATAAGTGAGAATATAGATAACATGTTGGTTGAGAGATTGATTACCTCCTTACGCATTTCCTTGGACCTGGTATTTGTTACCATGTGATATTACTACCCGTCATCACTGCCATTACGATTGCCTAAAGCTTAGATGGAACACATACTTGACTTCTATGTTTTAGGAGAATCAAGGCAAGTGTGTAGTGGGGTTTTAAATGGAATGGAACCACAAGAAGGTATTGGGTCATATATGTAAATGACATTGCAATTCGAACCAATCTTTTTACAACTGACCTATGTTATAAACAAGTCTTCAGGAACACGCAGATTAATTATTCGCTAGATGAACATTATTAGCTAAAAATACTAAAAAATCAGCTTTGAACCAACTTTTCAAAACAACCCATAATTATTAGGATTGGTTAGAATATGTGTACATTAAGATTAAGGTATTTTCCGGTGCAAAGTTAGCACCAGTGTTTGATTTTGGATTTTTGAATGGATTAATTATTTTTTTGCTGCTCAACCACTCTCTAGCAGAGCGCGTCCCAGACACGCTGATTTAGCTTCGCATCCCGGTAATCGTCTCTTTACTTATAGGCTTTTATTTTTATTTTTCTTCTTCTTCTTCTTCTTCTTTTATTTCTATTTTTATTTTTTATTTTTTATATTAATTATAAGTATATGTTAAAGTTTGGTAGGTTTATATGCCACTAAACTGGGTTCCATTTTTTTTAAAAAAAAATTGGTGGGTTTGGATCCGGATCAACATTCTTTATTTGTTTATTTATTATTTTTAAATTGAATGTCTAAATCTAGGGAATCACTATCCACAATTGGGATAGTAATCCCATTATTTAATATGTTATCATACACTTGAGCCACACCAAATCACAAAAATATCCACCAATCCCATTTTCACAGAAAATCACAGAAGTATATGTTAATATGCTATCATAAACTTGGGACACACTGAAGTTTGGTTGCAATATCAATTAAGTGAATTGAATAGTATAGCATATTGCTCCATGTACCAGTTCATTTTTACACTGCTATAGCCCCATGAATAGAGCTTCAAGCCCATGACCCTTGCTCTGGGTCTCTGCTAACTGTTATTATACCCAGTGTGTTAGTGTTCCTCTTCAATTACTATGCATTTGTCTACACCATTAACATTTATTGTATACAGTTTTTATTTATTTATTTATTTAATTATTATTATTATTATTTTTTTTTATGGTTAATTGATGGAATGCTTTCAATATAATTCAGGGAAGAATTTAAGGATGATGAGATGGTTGATGTGAAGTCATTACACATCCGAAACTTTTTCTGAAGTTGAGTTTGTTGGTTACTGCTTTGCTTTGCATTTAACAATTGTTAGGATACTCATATCTAGCAATTGTTTGAAAAAAACAGATTATAACTGTTCAGGTATTTGTTAAAATAAAGGGAAATACTGGATTAATGTTTTGGTCATTTGTATGTGTCCGGTCTATCTTATATTTAACTCCTTGAATATTGATTGGTTGTCGATCTCCAATCACAGTGAGATTTGAAAATGCAGTTGAAGTGCTGCATTTTTTGTTTTCAATGGCCAACTTTTGTTTTAAGCTTCTGCTATATTACAATTTTTTTTTAACTTGCTCTTATATTTTGATTTGCAATATTGGTAAACATTATAAATCTGATATGTTTGTTTCTTAATTTGCATTAAGATTAGAGGATGAGTTATTTTATTTGAGTTTTGTAGAGCATGTAATACAAACAAAATTGTTACAAGTTCTTTAAGAAGAAAAATATTTTAATATATTTTTGTAACTCATTTTAATCTTAATATTATTTACACCGTGTCTTTAGGCACGGGCAGACAGAGCACTGGCTGGTTTGCATTATTTGATAGTAAATTTTTTTTTATATTTGATTTGTTTGGAATTGTAGAGTACAGTCTGTTAAATATATTTTTATAATTGTATTTTAATCTTAATATTATTTGCACCGTGCCTTTAGGCACGGGTATACCCTAATACAATAATATTATAACAGTAAACGGAATTCACTGTTACATCATTAATGCTGTCACTAATTACTGGTATCAATTATTTTCCTTTTAAAAAACATTGCGTGTACGTGAGTATAAAAGTTCCCACAAAATCGTAGTGAATCGCTGCCCAACGCACCACATGATCGTACGGCTGGCTCTAAACCGCATTGCTCAATGCCTCAGCTTGTTGGGTTTTAATTTTGAGAAAATAGTTTTAAGAATTTTTTATTTTTATTTTTTATATTTTAATATTTTTAATAATTTTTAAAAATTTTTTAAATACACATAATATAAATACATTTAAAAAGTATAATATTTGTAATTTTTTTTAAAAAATATACTAAGTATAAAAAAATATGAAAATTTAATATATTTTTCATATTTTTGTGTATTTATTAATTTTTAAAATATTTTATTATTTAGATATATCTAAATAAGATGCATCTAAAAAAGTAAAAAATTTGCATAAAATTTTAAAAATACTAACTAAAAAAAAACAAAAATTTAATTTTTAAAAAACTGAAACTAAACACAGAGCCATCGTTTGGCTATTTTAGCCACAAAAAGACAAACTAAATTTTTTAACCTAATAAGATAAAACATCACATTCAATATAATCATTTTATTTTTACTCTTACAAAATTCAAAAAAAAAAAAAAAAAAACAAAAATTTAATTTTTAAAAAACTAAAACTAAACACAGAGCCATCGTTTGGCTATTTTAGCCACAAAAAGACAAACTAAATTTTTTAACTTAATAAGATAAAACATCACATTTAATATAATCATTTTATTTTTACTCTTACAAAATTCAAAAAAATCAAAAAAATTATCTCAAACAGAATTTTTTAACTCAAAAAAAAAAAAAAAAAATTCAAAAACCTACACACAACCCAAACCAATCTCACTAATTTTTTCCACTCGCTTTTGAACAGCTCTGTGTCTTTCTGATTCCTGTTGCTCTTCAGTAGCCAGTAGAAAACAATCTCTCTCTCTCTCTCTCTCTCTCTCTCTCTATAAATATATACACGCAGAGGAGAGGAGGCAGTACATATACATATAATATAACTAACTAGCCTCTCCCTTTGAAATTCCGGACGCCTTACTTGCAGATGCTCTCCGGAAACCCTAAGTCCTCCAATCTTTCTCAATCAGCGATCCACCAGACTTCCACTCACCGCCATGGCTAACAACCCTTCCGACGGCTCAACCGACGATTTTCTCGAACAAATCCTCGGATTTCCATCTTACCCGACAACGGAGAATAATTTGGCGGCAAATGATCCCAGTTTGGCCGGAGCTTCTGCTCCGATGATGCTCCAGCTCAGCTCCGGCGACGCCTCCCATCATCTAGTCGGCGGCGGAGGAGGAGGAGGTGGTGGTGGTGGATTTCATGGAGGAGGGGTGTTCCCTCTAGGGTTGAGCTTGGACCAGGGTAAGCCAGGGTTTATGAAGATGGACAAGGCGAATAATCGGTTTCGCGAGGATGTTGTTGATGGAAGAGTGTCTTCTTCCTCCGTGAAAAACGTATGTGTGCCGAATTGGTAATTTCTTCAATTGTTTGTCTGTTTGGTTGCTGAGAAAATAAGGGAAAATGGAAACAAAAAACGAGAATTTCACATTTTAATAATTTTATTTTGATGTTTGGTTTCAAATTTCAGGAACGAACTTCGCAAAAACTAAGCAGGTTTTAAGCGTTTAATATTTAATTTTCAATCTCTTCTTCTTCTTTTTTTTTTTTGTCAAAATGTTTTCGAACGTTTCTCCTTGGTCAAATGATGTGTTTTTCTTATCTATCCATCTTTCTTATTGGCGCAACTAAACAATTGGTGTCTGTTTGTGTTTGTTTTTACTTGTTATTGATTTGTTTTAGCAAGTATTACTAGTTGTGACCTTTGAGTTAAGATATGAACGATAAGTAGCAAATTTGACATGATAAGTTGATAAATGGACTCTCTATAGCTCACGGACGCATGAATACGATAGAGAGCGGTGCATATGTTACTTATTGTTATTGGATAAATAAAATAAAAAGAAAAATTCGAAACACACCACCCATTAAATTGTATCTGTGAGTTAGGATTGCACCTTCAACAACTTTGACTGGTTGAGTTGAGAAATGAACCTATTTATGTGACAGATCCCAGTACATATTGACATCCTTGGGTGAATAAAACTTGGAAAAAGGACAAAAAAGAAACAATTGAGTGTGAAAGTTCGCAATTTGGTCTCCAAAATTGGGTAGTTTGAACTATGAGTCTATGATCTTCAAGAAAACAAGAAATGAAAGTGTTCTTTTTGTTTTTGTTCAACTATGGTGAAATTTATGACTTATTGATTGAATGTATTCCATCTTATTTTTGTTAAGTTATTTTCTAAGGGATGTACATACACCATAGATGCAGTGTTAATGCTTGATATTTTGGCATACGTACATAGGATGCAATTGTATTTTGAACAGTTCTAACGCTTGACATTTTTTTTAATGGGGTTAAATGGCTTGTTTACCTGCCATATACAATTTTGAACAGTGTGAGATGTGTATGCTTAGGCTAGAGCTTATAAGTAAGAACCTTGCGTTGCCAAAGCGAGAAAATGATTCGTATATGAGTGTTTGACTAAAAAGATAAGAATCCAAAAATTGAATGTTATCATTTTAGAGGTTTGAAATCCAAAAAAAATACTTGGATATTTTCTCCAAAGCTTTTGCAGTGTTTTCATGAAAGACTCTTAAAACTGGTTTTAGAGGAGGGTAAGATCTGAATAAGAGAAGTGAAGGGCTATAAAAACGTTGTAACCTTGATAAATTTGCTTTTAGCTTCTGAATGTTGTAGGACCTAGCCTTTCCCTGTTGCACAGAATACTACTCTGTCCCATCAAATGCTGTAAAAGTTGATATTTTCTATTGTATAATACATTTAGAGTCTCAATGATGATAATAACACTCAATTGTCCAAAATACTGGATTCTCTCCTTGATTCCTTCGTTTACTTTTTCTTGCAGTGTTATGTTTGTTGCTTGAGCTTGTCTCATATTTTGTGCTTCTTTCAAAATTTTAGAATGAAATTGCCTCTCTTCCCATAATGTCAGTAATAGCCTTGGAATATTTTTGCAGGCTTTCCCTGGCCAGACGATGCCTAACACGGTTGCCGCAGTGCCACATCCACCTTCAATTCGTCCTAGGGTGAGGGCAAGACGAGGACAGGCTACAGATCCACACAGCATTGCTGAGAGGGTAAGCCTGATAGTATGCAAAATAGAACAATTCAGAGATGTTTGTCTGGCTTTCACGAGTGTTTGTATCTGACACCGCATCTGGCTAAGTAACAAGAAATAAGTCTTAACAATTAAAGACACTGTTTTAACCCCTGCCGGCTGATTCCACCGTCTACAATATGCACTTTCAGAAAGGTCTACACAAGTAGCTGCTTTTTTCTTTTTCCTCTTCTTTTATTAAAAATGAGCATATGATGCCCAATAAGATGGGTTGATTTGAATGACTTGGTTCTTTGATTACAAGGTTTTACTTAAACAACTTACACATATCCATATGAAGAACTGATTAGCCACTATTTTTGTTTAGCAGTGAGTACGTGTCTCAATGTTTGTTCCTATTCTGCTATGAATATACTTTTTTACCTTGATGAAGTCTCAAAATTATTGATTCGAATAATTGTAAAATCCCAATTAGCATGATGCATAAGTAGTTTCACTCCCTCAGCCTTCGTGGCAAGGTTTAATAGCTATGAGGTACGGGTGCGGGTAAGGATATGGGTAAGTCGATACGGAAAATTCTTTAAAAAGTAGGGTACAGATATGGCTGGAGTATGTCAATTTATTTATTTATTTATTTTTTTTAAACTTCATAGCTAAACATTCAATATATAAATCAAAGTTTCAATATTAAAACTAAAAAGAGAACTTGTCTAAAAAATTATATAATTCTTTCTTTTTCTTTTGTAATTATATAAAAATGATGCAAAAGAGAGCAAAATTATGACTTATGGGTAAGGTTTCGAAAAGCGGTTGCGGTCGTCGTAACAGTTACGGTGGCGTAGTTACGGTTGCGGGATATAAAAGTTACGGTGGCGTAGTTGCGGTTGCGGGATATAAAAGTCGTAGCGTAACGGTTGCGGTAATCAAAACCATGATTTTTTTTTTATTTTTCACACAATTTGAAGAACACTTACCTGTATGCATAATTTTTTTTCTAAAATTACATTTATTAGGGTTTAAAATAGATTTTTGATCAATTTTTATTAATTTTAAGTATGATCTAACATATTTCATATTTTCAAATCACTATAAAAAGAGTTTTTTACATTTTATTTCAATAGTTAATGACTTTAAGAATATTTAATTTTAAATGTTTACAAATTATTTTTTACCAATATCTAAATTAATTGAATAAAAAATATTCACATTTATTAAATGAAATGATTCTAAAAAAAAAAATTGTGTCATTAAAAAAAAAATTGAGGCATTTTTTTAGACGACATTTTACTTGAAACTAAATAAAATTATTTACAATTAAGTGTTAAATCAAATGATTAAAAAAATAAGTGCTTTTTTTTTAAAGATGTTTTTTAGACAACACATTATAATAACAAAATAAAAAATATTTATAATTAAAAAAATAAAATGATTGTAACAATAAATACAACTACTGGTTATATATATATATATATATATATATATTTTACATGCTAATGTAATGAAATAAAAATTAAAAAAAATTATAAAGAAAATAAATTCATATAAGATTTTTTCTTTGGGTTTGGATCACTTGAGTATTTGTTCTTTTTTTGTGAACTTTTATTTTAATTTTTTTTGGGAAATGAAGTTATTTAGAATATTATAAAATAGTGTAACAGTGTGTAACGAACCGTTACGGCCGTTACGGTATTGCTACGGCCGTTACGTAACATCAAAACGATCATTATACATATGAATTTTAGTCACATTGTTATAGCGGCCATAACGGGTGGCGGTACTTACCACAACTGTTATGTAACGGTGTTACGTAACAGTTGTGGTCGCTTTTTAAAACCTTACTCTTGGGTAAAAGGTGTTGGAAATAAATTACTTGATAATTTTTTAAGTTGAAAGAAGAATAATACAGGCTGTAACAAATTCTAGTAGTTGCAAAAAAAAAAAAAAAATCACCTTGTTGTATTCATGCGTACCCACGATGTACCCAAATGTATTTGCCGTACATGGCATGTATTCGCCGTACCGATATACGTGTCCACACCGAGTAAATATCCGGTATTTGTACGGCACCATTTTTGGAGTACATATTTCTTAATTTAATGGTAGGTGATATTCATCTGGATTTATACATAATCTACCATATAATAACCGTTAGTAGTTATGATATCATGCTAGTTTCTTCTTTTTTCAGGTCAATCTCCTTATTGTTATCGGACTATCGTCCAACTTTTTATTTATTTATTTATTTATTTTAACACAGTTGCGCAGAGAAAGAATAGCAGAAAGGATTAGGGCGTTGCAAGATTTGGTTCCTAGTGTCAACAAGGTCAGTGTATCCTCATTTTTGGCACTTTGCCCCCATTCATTGTAATGGTCAGTATTGATGTGCATCTATTTAAGGTAGCTATGTAGGCACCTTGTTCCCTTTAGGATAAATGTCATCCTTTATTTGCTGATATGCTAAATTCTGCATCTTGGTTTTTAAATTCACGTTGAATAAGAAGCCTCAGCATGTGGATTGATACCTGGAACTCGCCTCCCCTTCCCCCCCTTCTATCAATTGTATTAATCCTTTCATAGTCTATAATATTTGAAATAACCAATTTTTTGGTTGTTCTAAAATTGATTAACAGAACAAATTATGAGCACCAAATCATCGTCTAATAGCTTAGTTACCAAAATAACAAAATCAAACTGGACCTGAAGTAAATTTTGTTTATACTCATTATCACCTTGTTTGACAATTGCTTTCTTGTGTTTGAGATTAATCTTGAGGTGTTTTATGAAGCATTAGTAATTTTTCACAGTTTTTTTATTCTTATTTTTCTTCTTAATAAATTACTACTGTATTCTTCTTTGATTAATTTGATAATTTTCTGTTGGGCCTCCCCAGTCAATTGTTTTTTCTTGCTTTTTTTATGGCATTAGAAGATGAAATATTCTTTGTTTTGTTTTGTTTGATAAGTAAGAAATTGGATGGTTAGTAAAGGAAAAAGGAGATGAAGGTTGATATATCCTGTTCTGTATTCCGTAGATTGACAACAATTGTCTTACAGCTATGCATGGTTCTGGACCTTCTGGTCAAAGTAACAATCTTGTTGTTATGTGGTTCTGGATTTTCGTTCTCGCTGTGTTACTAACTCTGCAAAACTGGAATACTATTGTTCATATCATAGTCCCTTAAATATTTGGTGTAATGTTCATTCCTGTGCAGACAGATAGAGCTGCCATGCTTGATGAAATTGTGGACTATGTGAAGTTCTTACGGCTCCAAGTGAAGGTAAATAACCCTAGAGTTTGTTCTGGACTTCTGTATTCTTTATTTTTCTAGTTACTTAATCATAGAACTAAATCCAAATATATTCATATTTTTAAGATCTAAAATTTTGTAAGAATTTGTATCATTTTGCTGAGTTTGCTTATTCATAGACATCATCAAGTGAGATTTGTTTTCTTTGCATACTATGACATGTGGCTTATCAATTCTATTTCCCTTCTCTTTAAACATTGTTAAAGCATTACTGAGTTGTGCAAAGTCTACAATTCCCAATCATTGATTGCTCGTACTTGGCCCAAACTTTTTTTTTGTGTTTCTATTTTTTTTTTATTTTTTTTTTGGGGTGTGGTGCTAAATGTTTTGTTTAAAACCATGAAGTTAATGGTGGAGTTTGACATTGTTATAGTAACAACCCACATTGCACTTCTATGCTGTCCAAAATCTTCGAAGTGCTTTTGTTTCAAGATCAAGAATGTGTAAAATTGCACATTACCTTTAATCATTGAAGTCCTATGACGAGTGAATCCAAAATGGATTACCTTAATTTTTAATAGCTGGAGATAGCAGTATTCACCTGACAAGGTACTCATTATTGAAATGTTATGATATGATTGTGCAATATTGGAGACTTTTTAGGGAATGATCTAGGAGGTTGCATCCTATTAAAGGGCATTGCCAAACCACTCAGCCCCTAAATATATTTTAAAAGTGTTGAATTAGATTCACCTTTCTGTTATCAACCTTTAATTCATGCTTTGCAGGTATTGAGCATGAGTAGAGTGGGTGCAGCTGGTGCTGTGGCACCTCTTGTGACGGACATTCCAATATCGTCTGTGGAGGTAATTATAGACAAGAAATCAAAATTCTCTCTTTTTTCTTTTTTCATTTTTTTTCCCCCGCTTATCTTAAAACTGTGTTTAGGAAGAAACAAGTGAAGGTGGAAGAAACCAACTGGCGTGGGAGAAGTGGTCAAACGATGGCACAGAACGACAGGTAGCTAAGCTCATGGAAGAAAATGTCGGGTCTGCCATGCAGTTCCTTCAATCGAAGGCACTCTGCATCATGCCAATCTCACTGGCCTCGGCAATCTACCACACACAACCACCGGAGGCCACCACAGTCGTCAAACCTGAAACACATCCCCCCTCATGATACAACAGAAATGGCACCACATACCACACATGTCCTCCTTCAAAACTGCCCTTGGTCCCCCACCCTAACAACACCTAGTTGAACCCACAGGAAATCAGAGCTAGTCCCCACCCTCTTTCAAAATGCAATCAACGTCAGATCCACGGTTGCCACCTTTTTGCCTTTACCTTCCAACTTTTGTCAAAAGAAGTTTTGATGTCATGCTTAGAATAATGCAAGAAAAGCCTTCATGTCTTTGCCATATTCGAGTAGAGGTGAAGATTTGTCAAATTCTCTTTTTTCTTTTTTTCTTTTTGGATCAATGGTGGCTGACAGGAGCACTTTTGTGGTAGTGGGGGCTGTCAAATGGAATGTAATTAGAATGGATAATGGTTGGTTGTCTAGAAAAAAGGTGGAGTTTACAGTCCTCAGAAATCATCATTAGTGCAACTTGGTCTCTTTATTGGAATTAGTTGGTTGGTTTTTGAAAAGGTTTTTGACTTTCTCTTACAATTTCCTCTCCAACATTATTGTAGGTGGCATAATTGGAGAGAGAGAGAGAGAGAGAGGAGGGCGTTGAATTGTACAGCTGCCCCCCGTGGAATTATATTCCCCATTTAGGAGATGTGTTGTGTCCTAACAGCGGACACAAGGTCCCATCGGTTTTGAGAGTCCAAACTTGCAAGTTCTTGGAAGGCTCTCACATATATTCTGATTCATGTTGTGAAGTTACAGTAATATAGATCACCAGGTATTATTAATCAACAATAAATTTATATATAGCAAGTCAATACTACTTTCAATGAGTAACGTGATAGAATAAACAATAATAAATTATTGGATAGTAATACCGATAATATAGTATCGCCGTTGTATTAAATTTTTTCTCCATTTGAGTTGTGCCAATTTCGTTCTTGCGGTCAAATGTAGGAGTGGCCATGGCCTATGGCTACTTAACCTAGCATGATAATTTTAGGACTTGAAAAAATATTTAGGCTAAGTTTGACATCCTCAAAAAAATTTAAAAAGTCAAAAAGTCACTATCTTATTTAAGTCGTATCATCTTATTTAAGTCATATCACCTCTCTATTACATCATTTCAAATCCAACTTATACCCAATTCATATTTCATAAAAAGTTAAAAAATATACTTATTTAGGACATCTCAAATAACTCCTTAGTCTATAAGATTGAGTTGGGCTGGAAATAAGTGATTCTAGCGTAGCTCAATTTAGCTTGTTTATTTATAAAATATTAATTTTATAATTTCCAGCCCAACTCAATTTAGCTTGTTTATTTATAAAATATTAATTTTATTTTTATATTATTGTAACTATGAAAGGTAGAAAAATTATAAAGGACAAAATATATATATATATACAATTTTCTAAAATTTAAACTAAAAATATTTCTTATACTGTTAGATTTTATTAATGTTCTAAATTCAAATAATAATTAAGAGGATCTAAATAATTTAATATCAAAGTTTAAAAAAAAAAGGGTAAATTATAAATACGCCTTTTGAGGTTTGCTTAAAATATAAATTTTTCCTATGGCTTAAAACATTACAAATACCCTTTTATTAGAATTTTTTATTTAACAGAATTGATTAAAAAAATGAAATTTATAACTGCTCTCCTATACAATAATAAAATTACTTAAATTATTAATTGAAACATATTTTTAACATCATTAAAAAATATTAATTGGCGTGATGATTTATTAATAAAATAAGAGATTTGTTTTGAAATTAGAAACCTCAAGAATGGAATGTAATTTTGAAAACCACATGAAGTGATTCGTATTTAAATCAAATCTCAGGTGATGTATTTGTAATTTATCCAAAAAAATTAATGTTTTATAACTATTGGGTTAAGTGGGTGAGTTTAGGATTTAAAAGTTTTTTTAAAACCAGACTTGGAATAACTAGATTAAGTCTGACATCGGACCCCAAACTTCAGGGGTACGGGTGTAATTTACCCTGGAAAAAGCATTCACTTCTTAGTCAAACATCTTTATATGCCTCTGTTTGGCCAGAATTGATTAAAAAAATGAAATTTATAACTGCTCTCCTATACAATAATAAAATTACTTAAATTATTAATTGAAACATATTTTTAACATCATTAAAAAATATTAATTGGCGTGATGATTTATTAATAAAATAAGAGATTTGTTTTGAAATTAGAAACCTCAAGGATGGAATGTAATTTTGAAAACCACATGAAGTGATTCGTATTTAAATCAAATCTCAGGTGATGTGTTTGTAATTTATCCAAAAAAATTAATGTTTTATAACTATTGGGTTTAGTGGGTGAGTTTAGGATTTAAAAGTTTTTTTAAAACCAGACTTGGAATAACTAGATTAAGTCTGACATCCGACCCCAAACTTCAGGGGTACGGGTGTAATTTACCCTGGAAAAAGCATTCACTTCTTAGTCAAACATCTTTATATATAAGCTCACATTTGTATATATATAAAAATAAATATAAAAGTATTAAACTGAATACAAATGCAAATTGATGGAGTGTCTACCGATATCCAATTAATTTGATTTTTATAAGTATGTTATAGTTTATGTTTTTTAAAAATTGAACGGCTCGGATAACAAAATAAAATTTGAATAATTTTTATAAGTCGCACAACAGTTACTGTTGCGTGTCTTGCACGGCCGTGACCCCAATTTTCTTTGTTAAATTGTTGTCTCAAGCTTATAGCTAAGGTGTAACAATCAAAATAGTTGGCAAACTTATAGCTAAGGTGTAACAACCAAAATAGATAAGGTGTAACAATACTCGTGGTATTTCAAACTTACAGCTAAGATGTAACAATCAAAATAGTTAAGGTATTTCAAACTTATAGCTAAGGTGTAACAATCAAAATAGTTGGCGATGTCTAAAACAAATAGCCATTTCCAAGTTTAAATCAACTAAAATCCAGATTGGGAGGGAAATCCAAAAAATCATTGAGCAATTCAAAGGGTTGACAACAGTTTAAAACTCAGGAATGCTAGTGGACATCCGAGCTTGGATGATTTGAATTAAAATTTGTCAAATATGACTTTAGCAAGCTTCCATATCCGGACATGGGGGAGCCTTGGGATCACTTAACAAAGTAGTTGTCATGACCCGAATCCGCCTCCATAGGTTAAGGACATAATCGGTCAGTAATCACGAGATTACCTACGGTCTCAAACCAAATCAAATATATTTTAACAGAGTTAAGGGGGCCAAACGGAAGAAATTTCAAACTTTTGTCCATAGAGCTGTGCTTACATGGCACGTTATAACATTGCACAAAAGTATTCGTTAATAATTCACATAAAAAGGAAGTCAATATATGTATACTTTATATACAAGATCATACAAGTCTTAGTCAGCCTAACCAAAACTTATTTACAATTGTAATCCAAAGTTCTCGCCAACATGACAAAATGCAACAATATGGCAAAAGGGCGAGAGCAAGTCTCGTGCGTGAGATGTATCGGCTGACTCTTCAAAACCTTGACTGTTTCACACAACTTCACTGAGGCTGGGTTTGGACCTCCCTTGGCTCACCTACGGACACATAAATGAACATGAGCGAAAGCCCAGTGAATAATATCAAATAAAAAAGATACATTAGAACAATATACATCAGACGGCTTTGGGCCAAATTCATATTTCTATCTAGTATATATATATAGATCAAGTGACGGTTCCAAACACATCAGACGGCCTCAGGCCTAATCCATTCATGTCAAACTGGCCTTTGGCCCATTTATCTTTCATTCATGTCAAACGGCCTTCGGCCCATCCATTTTTTCATTCATGTCAGACTGGCCTTTGGCCCAACCATTCTTTCATTCATGTTAGACTGGCCTTTGGCCCAACCATTCTTTCATAGCAAACATTTGTCCATAATTCAAATTAGCAAACTTATAAGACTTATAGGGAAATAAGCAATTGGACAAATAACATACTTCAAAATGTCTTTATTAAGATATTACTCACAGTGTTCTGCCGGTGGATTCACCATTGAGCTCGACCCTACACATTACATAACACATATGGGTTACAAACGATTCAATTCGTTCTTAATTCAAACATCCCTCTTAGGCTTCTTTCTCATTCTTTTAATTCATTCATAATGCTCAATGCATGCCTAAGAGTACTTAGAAGTGAAAGAGAACGGAAAATAAAACACAAGACACCTTTACAATTTTCTGAAACAGGGGTCCCCGTTCGAGCGTGGACTTTCCTGCTCGAGCGGACCCATCAAGTCTGCAAAAGTACTGGTTGCCTTATTTTTACGCTCGAGCGTGAAGTCGGGCGCTTGTGCTGAAAGTTACTCTACATAGCTCCCTGCTTGAGCGTGAATTTCCCCACTCGAGCGTACATCCATATCTGCAAAAAGTTCTGGGAGCTCGTATTTTACGCTTGAGCAGCGCCTTCCCCGTTCGAGCGGACATGCCAAAATCTGGAAAATCCAGAATTGCTCTTCAAGTTCAAACTCGACCTTCAAAGGCCCAAAACTCATAATTTCGGTCCAAAACATGCAGATATATTATATAGCATATGGATGTAAGCAACATGAAGCCAATCATTCAAAATCATGGTCCAATTCTTCAAGATTAATCAACATTCCTTTGTATAATCATGGCCCATGCATTCAAACCTCATATAAGCTCCATATCTTTAATAATCAAACATGCATGCCAATTTTGACTTCATTTCTATTTCAAATGATGCAAATGGTGTTCATTCTCATGAAACTTAACAAAAACATGCTTGCATGTATGATCCAACTCTCAATCTTTTATAATTGACATGCTACATGTTAGATTATGCAAATTTATGGCAATTCATAGCAATTCTATGCATGCATGTGCATATCTCAACAAAATCAACACAACTCATGATCTAACTCACTATTTAATCTTCAATTCACAAAATCACAACCAAACTCATGAGTTAAGGGTTGATTACTCACCTAAGAGCTTCAATCTTCTAAACTTATGCTTAATTCTTGAGTTGGTCTTTAAATCATCCAAGCTTCAAGATCAAAACTTCAATTGTCTCTCCCTCTCTCTCTCTAGCCGACCCTCACTCTCTTCTCTTAGGGCAATTTTCGGCTTTGAGCTCAAAATAGATGGACATAAGTATAATAGAGCTCCTTTTATAGTCCCTCACTAATCACATTTGATTAGAGTTAAATACTAAAGCTTAATCGATCGTTCTGGATCTAATTA